ATCACAGTTATTCAATAAGGTAAAAAGAAACATGAGAAAAGCTATTTAAACCTAGAGAGTTTTTATTATTAACACCACAATTAATGAGAAGAGTGTTATTGCAGGTTCAATTGATCTAGTGATTAAAGTCTTCAGAATTAATATTTCTTGTATCAGTTTTTATAAGAATTTGTCTTTTTCATTTGAATTGTCAAGTTTGTTGCTACAAAGCTGTCTACAACGTCTCTGATGAGTTGTTCAGTATCTATAGAGACCATGGTATGTCCTTCCTGATTTCTCAAATGGAATCCTTTGTGCAGTTGTCTCTCCCACTGTTTCCCTCCATCTCTCTGTGTCTCTTTCTCTTGATAAATCTTGCTGGAGGTTTATCTGTCTTTTCAATGGGCCAACTTTTGTTTGTTGATTTTCCCCACTGTATGTTTGTGTTTTTTTCTATTATTAATTTCTGCTATTATTGTTATCGTTATTACTGCTACTTTCCACACTCTTAGGGTCTACTTTGATAATGTTTTTCTGACTTCATTAAATGATTACTTAGATCATTTACATTTTAAATGTATTTCAATATATGGACTTAAAGCTATTGGTATTAATCTAAAAGCATAGCTTTACCTATATCCTATAGGTCTTGATTTGTCAAATTTCATAATCTTTAATTCAAAATATTTTTTCATTTACATGGTGAGTTCTTTTATCTCTGGGTAGAAGTATTTGCCTCACTTCCAAGAGCTGGAGATTTCATTATCTTTTGTTAATGATTTCTAGCTGTATTCCACTGAGATCAGAGGACATATTTTGAGCAGTGTTTGTTAATAGTGTTGTTAGATCTTTTTTAATCCTTACTGATATTTATCTTTTTATCTGATTATTCTTTTGGTACCTGAGATAAATGTGTTAAAATCCTCCACTATGATTGTGGCATTATCTCTTACTCCTTTTTATTTTAGACTATATCACTAGACCCATATAAATTTTGAATCATCATACTCCTACATTCTAATTATCTGACTTCTTTATAATTTTGAAATACACCTCTATTTCTCCTAATGCTTGCTTTTAATTTTTTTTTTGTGGGTAGGCATCCTTTAATTTCTTTAGGCTAAATGCACAGAATTGGAATGACTGGTTTATTGCTATTTCATGTTTAACTTTTTTTCCCAAAGTCCCATCTATTTAACTGAAAGGCAGAGCCACAAACAGAGAGAGATCTTCCATCCAAAGGTTCATTCCCCAAATGGTCATAATGGCTGGAGGTGGACTGATCTGAAGCTAGAAGCCAGGAGCTTCTTTTGGGTCTCCCACTCAGGTGCAGGGGCCCAAGGACTTGGGCCATCTTCTGCTGCTTTCCTATGGCCAACTATTTTTAATAAATGTCTTTACATGTGATTACATTTGTTAATTTTCAGCATTCATCATTTCCTTTCTTTGTTGTACTAACACGTTTGTTGGCCAATTTCCTTTTCATAATATCCAGTTTTGTAAAATACCATGTGAGTTTATCACTTGGTGGCAAGCAGGCAACTGAACAAATGCCCTTTTGTCAGCATGTGAACTGAATAACAGATGTGCTATGACCAATCACTGACAGACTTTGATAGACATAAATCATTGGCTACTGAACATGATGAGACACTATTACTAGCAAACAGGTAGTACTAAAGAGCTAGTACTTTTTGCAAGCTCATTTAACATATTATGGTCACTGAAATCTGAACTGTTTTGCTGTTATTTAACTAAATCATATCAATGGATATGCATGTAGATCAGAAGTATGCAAATGAGGTTTACCTGTGTTTGTAATGAAACATTGATTCTGTTCTTGAACTGGGTGTTCAAGAATGTTCATTTTATGAAATTTATTGAATAACACAAGGATAATTTGCACAATTTCCCATGTTTATGGCAAATATCACTAAAATTTTCATTAAGAATCATTTTAATTCACTTATTCACATAAGAAGGGAGAAAAATCATATAATCATATCAATAAGAGCAGAAAAAGCATCCGACAAAATTCACTGCCATTGATTAAAAAAAGAATGAACTAGAAATGGAGGCAAATTTACCCCATCTACCATAGAAAACTATGTGAAGTATCATGAGAATAAAACACAGATGCTTTGCTGCTGTTGCATCTATTCAACTTTACACTGGAGGTATTAGTTCAGGGAAACAACCTCATACTACTGAAAATTACTAAAGAATATTTAACTGAATTGAAGATATACCATGTCCATGAATTAGAACACGCCAATTAAACTCAAATTGTTCTACAGATTCACTGATATTCTAATCAAAACCAGAGCAGATGTTATGGGCTGTGTGTACGTATATGTGTGTGTGTGTGTGTAAATGTAGAAGCCTATCAGAAATGTAAAGGGAAGAGAATAATCAAGGCAATGCCAAAGAAGAACAAAACTGAAGGAGTGACATTCTTAGCTAGCAACATGTATTATATAAAATCATGATAACTAAGACAATATGGTATTGATACAAGAACAGAAAAATAAACCAATGGAATGGAATGGAGTCCAGAAACAAACACACACAAACACACACATATTTATATAGTTATTTGTATAAAATCAATTCTATGTGAATTATGGATCTAGATGAGAAAGATTTAAAAAATTCTAGAATAAAAATAGAATAATATCTTTATGAAGATGAAATAGGCAATAATTCTAACATTAAAAAAATTAAACTAAAATTAAACTAAAAATTAAATTTTTATTAAAAAATAAAACTAAAAGCACCAACCATGCAGAAAGAATCGATAGACTACATTAAAATTTGGAATCTGTATTCATCACAAGGCACCCTCAATAGAGTAAAAAAGCAAATCACAGAATGGAGAAGACATGAAAAATGCATCTCTCCAACAATGTGCTCATACGCAGTATGAAGGATTTCTTCCCAAGTAAGAAAAAGACAACTGAGAACAAACAAAAAAGACAGCTGCAAAGTCAAACAGGAAAGATACTTCACAAAGGAGGACACTCAAATAGCTACCAAAATGAAATTGTATTCAAGTTCATTAGGTCTCAGGGAAACACAAAAGTAAAAGCATAATTAAATATCACTGTAATCCCAAAAGAATGGATACCATTAAGGAGACTGACAAATAACAACTACTGAAAGGATGTGCAGAACCTGCAGTTTTCATACAGTGCTGGCAGGCATGCACTGGGTAAACTGCTTTGTAATGACATGACACTAGCCAATGAAGTTGAACTCACATAAATCCAATTATCCAGAAATTCCACTCATAGATGTTCCTTTACAGAAATGCAAAGACATATCTATCAAATCACATACTACAATATCCCTGGTGGCACTACTGTTAAGAGTGTAAAATTGAAAACAATCAACATTAAAGTGGCTAAATAAATTGGGGTATCTTCACAAACTTGAGTAATAAACAGCAATGAGAATGAGTAAGCCATTATTTGGATATATCTCACAAGCATGCTATTAGCAGAACAAGTCAAACATCAAAAAGCGCTTAGCATGTGATTCCATTTATGAAACATCCAAAACACAAAAAAGTAACTAACAGCAGGAGAGGTCAAAGCAGGCTCTACCATGGCAAGAGGCAATGGGCCAGTAGAAGGCAGGCTTCTGGTCAAGGTCTGTTTGTTGGCCAGGTGGTGATTAAGTGAGAGTATGTTTACTTAGAAAAGAAAGAGGGATGGATGTTTTATGGAGCAGTTAAGACTCTGCTCAGGATAGCTGCTTCTCACACCACAGTACCTGCGTTGGCGTCTTGGTTCTACTCCCAATTCCAGCTTCCTGCTCATGTGCACCCTGGTACACAGCTGGTAATAGCTCAAGTATCTGGGTTCCTTCCACCCACATGGAGCCTTGATTAAGTACCAAGCTCCTTGATTCAGCCTGGCCCAGACCTGGATGTTGCAAGCATTTGGGGAGTGAATGAATAGATAAAGAGATCTCTCCTTGTCTCTCCACCTTTCAAATAAATAAATTAATTAATTAATTAATGTGAACCTGGCAGGTGTATGTACACTGATTTAGAAAGATAATAATGAGGGGACCAGTGCCATGGCATAGCAGGTAAAACTGCCATCTAAGGCTCCTGCATCACATACAGATGCCTGTTCATATTCTGCTTACCCCACTACCCATCCATCTGCCTGGTAATGGCCTGGGGAAGCAGCAGAGGATAGCCCAAATACTGGGGCCTCTGCACCCATGTGGGAGACACAGAGAAAGCTCCTGGCTCCTGGCTTCAGATTGGCTCAGCTCTGGCCGTCACAGCCATGTGAGGAGTGACCAGTGGATGGAAGAACTCTCTTTCTTTCTCTCTCTCTCTCTCCCTTTAACTCTGCCCTTCAAATAAATAAACAAATCTTTAAAAAAGATAAACATCATATATCAATTAAATCACCAAATAATATATGATTTTATATTGGATAAGATAATAAAATGTAAATTATATTCAAAATAAATCTATGAAGGATGTATTAACAATGTTTATTAATTTTAAGTTTTTACCTCATGAAATTTTGGGATTTTTGAAAAATGAATATAGACATATGTTTGAAACCCAAAATAATAAATACTTTTAAAAAAAATCAATGTTCCAGCAGGCCATCCCACAATCCCAAAGACATCCCCTGGTGTGGGGCAATGCACTGGTCCAACAATGATAGCTGTTTGATGCACCAAGGAGCTTAGCTGTAGCTGCTCTGTTTCCAGGCTCTCTTCACTTACATGAGCTGATCTTTCATCATTAATGCAAATTCACTTTAATTAGCCTTTTTCAACTTGTGTTCAAGAAGCAGATTCTGTTTTGTTCTCTGAGGAACATTTACTGAGTAAAGGTAAAAACCCTTTGCTACTGCAAAGATACCCAGTTTCATGCCAGAGAAGGACATGTATTGTCACATGTCTGCATTCTTGAGCTATGTGACTTAACAGAAGGCACAAAGGACAATTACCACTGGTCATGTTTTCCTTATAGCACTCAACGAGCTTACCTGTAAACCTCGAGATTAGTAAGACAAATTCCAACTGTACTCCTGTCAATTGCAATACCAAACATAGTTTTAATATAACCATGCTTTGTTTCACAGATTTACTTAACTATGAAGCAATTTAAACTTTCTGTCATTCAGTCTTATTTTTATACGTTCTATAGAATAGGAAAGAGAGTTGAATCCCTAAGAATTATACTAGAAAATGAGTAGCTTTAAAAAAACTTCGTACTATAAATGCTAGCATATATATTGTGAGTAAAGTGCTTTTTAAAACAAAGTTGATTACAAGTAAAAACTACAAACATGCCCAAGGTCTTAAAAACAGAAACTACCTGTGCATGGGGACATCTGTGAGCACCACCTCCAAAAGTGCAGAGTTTCCCCTCATGGAAAACACATTTTGGCCCATTCTTCTTTTAAAAAAAGAAAAGAGAAAGACTCCTAATGAATGCAGGCATTATTCATTTAAATCTATGCCCAGACCAAAAAAGAAGAAAGATAAGGACTTGGAAATTATGTTGAGGTTTACATGCCTAAGAAAAATAAAGGAAATTTCGTTACCATAAAATGTCACTGTGGTAACATATTTATTCTCATTATTTTGTCTCATCCAGGCTAGAACCAGAGCAAACGAGCTTAATGATAGTAATGGGGATTAGACCAATATGAGGAAGAATGACTTTGGGTGACAAAAGGCTAGTCTAGGAAATAAGTGCTGAATGCAGCACCTGGGAATTTCTGTGGCCCCCTCGTGCCATTCTAAAGGCCCTGGCAACTGTGCTCTGCACGAGACAGCTGCCCCAGTCCTTGCTTTTTGACATTACTGCCATCTCTGCTGCCACAGACCTGGAAATCGCAATGTCTAAATTAACGAGCGCAGTGCAGGCAGCAGTACGCGCAAGCATATGGGCAGAAACCTTTCTAAGAGATGCAGGGAAGAGCCAGTGCACACTGAGCAAGCTGGGAGAGATTCCATCGTTCACACCCTGCCAATGCATTTTGCTACTGGTATTTTCTATTTCTGTCAGGATGCGCCTCATTACTACTCTTACTATGAGAATGGCAAAACTGTGTATCTGTTTTAACAGGAACATATACATAATTACTCTGTGAAGATATTTTCAAAAGTGTCAAAATATGAATTAAAACACTGACACTTTTTTTAAGGTTTCTTATATGGTTCCAAAACATGTTGTTTACAGAATTTGGGCTTAGTGCAGTGGATGAGAACATTCGTATGCAGCAGTTACTAAAATATCAGCTATTTATCGTATTGAAAGCAAGCGTCAGCTCTGGTGATGTTAAAGGGAAGTTCTTCTGGTGAGGGAGAAACATGCAAGCGTGTGAAGAGTTCCAAGCCACTGGACTGCCCTCCGTGTTTTGAGGAAAAGGCCCTCAGCTGGTGTGGCTGAGATGGAAGCAAGAGCTCCACCCACTGGAATAAGCTGTCCAGCATTGGCCAAAGGCCGCATAGCCCTTTTCTTCTGATTCTGGTTTGCTGTTAAACTCAAGCAGATCACTGAAATTGGATAGGAAGTGAAGTATCACCAAATTGTACGAATGTGCTGCTCTTCTGCCCAAGTTTGCCGCAAACTCATGAGTTTTCCTTTTCTCAAGAAGGTGAACAGATCTACCATGTTCTGAAAGATACCATAGAACTAATAGGCAGAAGACACAGGATATACATCACAAATTACCACTATTTTCACCTGACCAAATCAAACACTCTGCACTATAACACAGCCAAGCAAATACCCACTACACCCACTACAATGCAACCTGACCCCAACATTCTTTCCATATTGAGCCTTCAGAGGAGACAAACTAACTCAAGGAAAATATACAGTTCTTTTTCCTACAGTCCAACAAATCCATCAGCTCTGATGGTTAAACATTTCCCCCAATATCCCTGTCCCTAATGAGATGCATTTTCTACTTTCCCAATAGTCATGGTTTCCCTTCATGGCCTCTGCAGATGGCAGAGCAACAGAGTCAACCAATTTGACTATGACTTCAGCAGGCTTGGCTGAGTCCTGTCATGAGAGGAGGCCAGACACCACAGAGTCTAGTCCTTTCACTTTAAAAATTAGAAAATTATCGTTTAGAGGACTGAAGTGACAGAATGAATGATTCACAGGGTTGGAAGCAGGGCAGTGTCTTGACTTCTAATCAGTTTCTTTCCACCATTCTCTACTGGAAAGATAAAACTGAACAAACAGAGAAGACATTCTGAACAACAAAAAGTATAATCTGCAGTTTTGCTAATGTTTGTGTTTTTACCTCTGAAGAGATTATCCAAGTCAATATCTTCTTTTCCTTTGATTTTCAAACTCTTTGCCTGCTGTACAAGTCTGGGCAAAGAACAGAAATAAAATCTAGATTCATTATCATGTGAAGTAGAAATAAATCATGATAGCAGTACAAATTTAAATAGAAACCACAGGGTAAACAATGGATTAGCAGCTAGCTACTCTGCTGCACACAGCCTTGGTAGAATTTTTCTTTAGTTTAAGACTTTAAAAAATACACTTTTGCACAGAAACTCTGACTTTTACAACTGAAACTTGAGTGTTTTTCCTCATTCATTGCAGCAAAACCTTGATAGAATCCTCTGGCGATCACCTCTTCAGATCCTGAGACTATCGGGGATGGGGTGATGCTGTGGTAGATGGGTAAATAATAATTGCTACTGATTTTAATGCTTATTATTTTAATCAGAAGATTATAGACATTGTACTCAAACAACTCTATGAAGTAATTTAGTTACATTGCTGAATGTCAGAGAATTAATTAACTTTTAAAATGTTGCAGTATTCAGTAAGGCCTAATTTTGTAACTTTCATCATGGAACCTTATTAAAACTTGAGGTTCATACTTTATAATGAATAGGGAACTTTCTAAAATGAAACTTTTCTAGGAGAGCTAATTACCTGGTAATTAATTTTAGGTAGACAAACCTGAGATAATTAAGTTATCTGTATATATTTTGATTTTAATGAGATTCTAATACCTTGCTTTGCACATGTTCTCATTTCCAACTGAAAAGCAACTCTCATTTTATGTTCACTGACAAGTCCCAGAGTTGAAAAAGTAAGGACAGTTTTTGTTGCAGGTGAGGAAGTGGATTCAGTGACCAAACCCCTACCTAGAAACCTACATGACTTGGGCATGAATTGTGGTAATTTTATGGACGTGTTATGTAAGTGTGTATGTCATAGTCAAAGTACATTCTATCCACTTCTTCATCATTAAGACATTTTATTTGAAAGGCAAGAAAGTGAGGAAGCGTTCTGGTTGAAATTCTGTCTCTAGAACTCACAGTAGGTCGCGAATCCTCTCTGGTGCAATGGAGAAACAGTGCACCTAGCGTGGGAAAACTGGAGTCCCACCCAGGCCCCAGGCCACAGGTGTGTGACCCTAGGTGGGCGATGAAATGCTCTTACTCTTCCAATCCAGAAAATGGAAAGCACTTGCCTCACTGGGTTGTTTTGAGTAATCAGATACACACACACACACACACACACATATACACATATATATGTAAACAACTTAAAATGACTTATCATGGGCATATATAAAAATGTGTGGACTATTTTTTATAATTTAATATGTATAATTTTATTATATTTTTCATTATATCTATGTCTACATACATATAGGGATCTAATCAGGATCTGTTAACATTCTGTTGGGAAAGACTGTATCTACAGAAAGAGGACTCAAAGTTAGGCAGGGAGCACCCGGTGGGATGGAGCTGGTCAGTACAGGATGCTGGGAGGTACCACCACATGCATGGAACAGCAGGATAGCCATTTTGCAAAGAATAAGATGGAGAAAAGGAAGAACAAGTTCAACTCTGCTTACAAATTTTTGGCAAATCCTTGGGAACTTTTCACTCAATTTTACAAATTTTATGAAACTTTGAGTTGACTTTCAAACCATCCTAAAGCATCCCTCAGTAACACATACCATTGAAGATCTCAATTTTACTTTACAAAATTAAAATATAAAAGCTAGCCTGTGTTATGCAACTTTGAAGAGGATTTTAAAAATTTCTAAATAAATTGAATAAATTTATTGAGTGGTGCTTTTATTTTTAATGCCAGGTGCTGTAATTAATCCTGGGTGTGTGATGGTGCTGTTTTACCCCTGAGCAGCTGAGTCTTGAATGCTCCATGAGGTAGGCACCTCCCAAGGACTCCCAGCCACTTCCCTTGGCTTAGCCTCATTTCACTCTCAAAAGCTCTGGTAGGCAGGAATAGTGCTCTCACTTCACAAAGAGCTGGCTTTGCCCAAGTTGGTCACATAGTGACTCAGAGCTAGAGCCAGGATACCAATTCAAGCCTTCGCATTCCAAATTCAGGATGCCTCTGCCACACTCATCATCTTCCAGTAAGGTAGGGCTCACCCATTATTTACAGGGACATTGATAAGGAGAAGTCACAGAAAGAACAGAAAGGGACAGTCGGTCAGTAATGCTCCCAAGGGCTGAAGGGAGGACATGGCTTGGTGTAGGCTCCAAGCTGGGGTGATCTGCAGAGGATTGGGGGAGGAGTGACTGATAGGTTTCTAAAGGCCTAGAGAATTCAGGAGGGTGAAAAGAAGGAACTGGAATAGAATGAGCATGAGAAACATGAGAGGGGAGAAGTGTTTGGGGGATCTGAATAAGCAAATCAATGGATTTGACTGAAGCATCTGCACTACGAAAGTAAAGGTGACCTTAACCAAGTAAGTTGGAGCCGAGCTGCAGAGGGCCTTTCATGCTGTTCCCAGGTGTTTGGACTACAAATCGTGGACAGCAGAGAAAGCCACTGGAGTGTCTGAATCTTGAAAGTATTTTCTCACAGCCAATAAATGTCTGGAGATCACTAGGCCAGTAAGGTGCCAAAGAAGCACATTTTGTTTCTAATTTAGCTAAAAAGGTCTAAGTCTCCAGAGGTTTCTACTTCACCAGTAATTCTTCCTGAAGCCTGGTCCACACCCTTCATATAGCCATAGTTCCAGGCACCCTAACCAACATTCAAAGTCCTTTGTTAATGGTACTGCTGCTACAACAGCAAGTGTCAAGCTATCTGTCTGTCTAGCTCTACCAGATTCATTCCATTAAGGAACATACATGATCCAGAGGTGAAACTTGCCACTCATAACTGATAGTCTCTGCTCTCTGCTGTTTTTCTACTTGCTTACTATTTTGCAACTCTAAGTTGGAAGAAGGGTTGCGTGTTCTCTGAACTTCCTCCTAGGTTTCTCCTTGATAACAGGGCAGTATCAATGGCTACCATGTCGTGCTCATTAAGTGCAGGGCCCTGAACTTCATGCCTAACATTAAGGAATTCATATTAATAAAAGACAGAGAAGTCAATGAGTTTGTTCAAAGTAGAAGAACCAGAATTTGTATTTGACTCAAGTTCATCTAGCTGCTGCAACAGAAGTTGGTGAACTCTAGCCCATGAGTTACATCTTGCCTATCACCCACTCTTAAATGGCGTTTCATGTATAGCTACTAGCACTGTTTTCTGTAGCATCCTTGTCTGTGATCACTACTAGCCTGAGGTGAGAAACTGTTAGCAGATACTGATGGCCACCCAAACCCAAGCTATTTAACCTGGCTCTTCACAGGAAAGGTTTGCTGACCCCTGTTCTAGAAAGTTCCCTATAGTCAAAATGCACTGGGCACATTAGGGGTTTGGTCTAGGCCAATAACAAACTTTCCTATGGGAAGGGCAGAGAGCCCTAAAGGTGAAGGATATGGTCCTCGAAAAGGCAGGGGTTGGGGAGAATTAGCCACAGGATGTGGTGTGGGATGAAAAGTGGACCTGGAGAAAACTGGTGAGGCCTACAAAAGCTTTGTTTCCCGATGTGTATGTATGTTTGGATTCATGAAACTACTTCAATAACTGTGAGATTCTGTCAACTCAAAGGAATCATACAGTATGTTCAGTTTGTAAATAACAAATAAACATTTTAAAATACAGCACTATAGGGGCTGGTGGTGTGGGACAGAGGCTTAAGCTACTGGTTGTAACACTGGCATCTCATATCAGAATGCTGGTTGGAGTCCCAGATGCTCTACTTCCAATTCAGCTCCCTGCTAATAAATTTCAGAGGGTAGAAAATGATGGCCCAAGTATTTGGGCTCCTGCTATCCACATGGGAGACCTTGATGGAGTTCCTGGCTCCCTGCTTTGGCCTTGCCCCAACCTGGCCCGTGTGGCCATTTGGGAGTGACCCAGCAGGCAGAAGATCACTCTGTCTCTCTCTGTCACTTTAACTTTCTTTTTTTTTTTATTTTTAAAATTTATTTGACAGATAGAGTTAGATAGTGAGAGACAGAGAGAGAGAGAGAAAGGTCTTACTTTCATTGGTTCACCCCCCAAATGGCCGCTACGGACAGAGCTACGCGGATCCGAAGCCAGGAGCCAGGGTGCTTCTTCCTGGTCTCCCACGCGGGTACAGGCACCCAAGCACTTGGGCCATCCTCCACTGCCTTCCTGGGCCACAGCATAGAGCTGGACTGGAAGAGGAGCAACTGGGACTGGAACCCGGCACCCATATGGGATGCTGGCGCCAGAGGAGGAGGATTAACCAAGTGAGCCACGGTGCTGGCCCCTGTTACTTTAACTTTCAAATAAATAAATAAACCTTTTTAAAGTGGTAGTATAAAGCATTAGTATGATAAACATGTGGACTTCAAAAAGTTAATGGAAAATGATGGGAGACTAGGAGGAAGCACCTGGCTCCTGGCTTCGGATCAGCGTAGTGCCAGCCGTAGCCAAATAATGGAAAAAAAAAAAAAAAAAGAAAGAAAGAAAGAAAAGTTGATTTGGGTACAGTTTTTTTTTTTAAAGTATATACGTGCAGGAAAGTAGTTTTCTAAAAGTTCATGGAAAATTAACATTAAGGAAAAGCTAAGCATGGCATTTGGAAAAATTTTTTAAAGATTTATTTATTTATTTGAAAGGCAGAGTGACAGAGATGGGGGGGAAAGACAGATCTTCTATCCACCGGTTCACTCCCCAAATGGCTATGAAATAAATGTTTTAAATTCCATTTTCTGTGGACTTTTGGAAATACTCTTGTGCATATGAACTAGTTTGTTTTGTCAATATAAGAGGGATGGTAAAGGAAACTGCCTATCAATGAGGGAGCAGGCTGAATGAGTTCAAATGTGTCTACACTATGGAATAGGACCCTTTTGTCCAAAATAATGCACAGATCCATTTGTGTTGATGTAGCCATTTATCAATGGCATACTGCTATATCCAAGATAACACACTGCAAATGAACACAAGCTAGAGATGTATGTGCCTGTGCACAGGCCTGTATAGACATGGACATACAAAGAGTGGAC